TGAAAAACCATTGGCACAACCCCCCAAAAAAAATTATTGGCGGAGATATGATTTTTTGAAGATTTTAGTCACTTTTTGTACTAAAATAAGGTTTAGATTGAAAAATTGCGCTTTCTCTTGCTGTATGGGTCCCAGAGGCAAATAAATGTCATATTCCGGTAAAAAATTGTCTAAGGTTTCCAAAAAGGGTTAGAACTTTAGTGTTTGGGGTGAATGTATGGTAGATATTGAAGCCCCAAAACTTTTGCAGGCCTTTCTAAGATCTTTGGGTTTTTTGGGAAGAAAAAATCGTAAAATGTTTTCGTTATATGATTTGAAAAGCTAAAGGACCATACAATCAGATAAGAAAATAAAAAAGGGTGGGTCGAGCCCTTCCTGAGGAGCTAGACGCCTTAGAAAATGGCCCAAATTTTGGGTTTCGGAAATTCGGGAAATTCTCTATCTAATAGGTAACTCGCCGAGTTAGGACCCTCTGGGCTAAAATTCCGTCCGTTTGCCTCTATCTTGCACCGTTTAGGCGCTAGAGTGTTTTTTTCGACGAAAATACGGTGAAAATGACCACGTTGCACATAAAAACGTACAAGGAGGCGTCCAATCGTAAAATGTCAGAGGAAGAACCCCCCCAAAACAGCACATTCTGAGTCTGATTCCACCCTCCGATTTACCGTATCTTTAACCGTTTAGGAGCTAGAGGTGGATATATTGAAAACAATTGCACAGTCGTGCGTACGAGTACGCGGTCATTTTGAGCTTTCGAACACCCCGGAAAGTTACTCGCAACGCCCAGGAGAAAGGGTTAAAGGTGAAAGTTAGCTCTCGCAGTGTACAATGTGTTCAAGCGGCCTAACCACCCTGTCCACCGATGAAATTTCACGTGTCGACTATTGTTTCCCGTAGAAAAAGGCATGAGGAACACGCTCAAACAAAAATAAAGCAACTTTTTTCGTGGGAAATGCCTTAAAATGGCGATTACTTGTGAGCGTGCGCGGCCCCGCCCCACCCGCTCGGGACAGGCCAGGCTGTCAGCCGTGGTGGCCACGGGTCGCGTAAGACACGTGCATTTTGTGAAAGAGGCGCCAAAATTTGCCGAATTCTTTTAGAAAATTTTGAATCGTTCAGTCTGTACACTGTTCAACTCGTACTACCTGAACAGAGTAGGATAAAGAGCGGTGGCACTGACCCTTATTGAGCTAATACGTGGCCCGCAGCAACTTCGCAACCCCTTTTCGGTCTTGATTGACATAAAGCAAAGGATATCTAAGTAAATTGAACCCCCTTGAACCCTTTTTTTGAACAAGTTTGTACATTTTGAAGTCAACAACAAGCCAAACAACCGGTGGGTTTTCCATATTTTCGCACAGGAAGACTCCTTCGGTGTGGTCCAGTGGCCGCGACCCCAGGGGACCCCCGGCCCCTCGCCGCGACCCCAAAATTTCTTCTCGCGACCCCAAATGGGGTCGCGACCCCGAGGTTGGGAACCGCTGGGTTAAAGATACGGTAAATCGGAGGGTGGAATCAGACTCAGAATGTGCTGTTTTGGGGGGGTACTTCCTCTGACATTTTACGATTGGACGCCTCCTTGTACGTTTTTATGTGCAACGTGGTCATTTTCACCGTATTTTCGTCGAAAAAAACACTCTAGCGCCTAAACAGTGCAAGATAGAGGCAAACGGACGGAATTTTAGCCCAGAGGGTCCTAACTCGGCGAGTTACCTATTAGATAGAGAATTTCCCGAATTTCCGAAACCCAAAATTTGGGCCATTTTCTAAGGCGTCTAGCTCCTCAGGAAGGGCTCGACCCACCCTTTTTTATTTTCTTATCTGATTGTATGGTCCTTTAGCTTTTCAAATCATATAACGAAAACATTTTACGATTTTTTCTTCCCAAAAAACCCAAAGATCTTAGAAAGGCCTGCAAAAGTTTTGGGGCTTCAATATCTACCATACATTCACCCCAAACACTAAAGTTCTAACCCTTTTTGGAAACCTTAGACAATTTTTTACCGGAATATGACATTTATTTGCCTCTGGGACCCATACAGCAAGAGAAAGCGCAATTTTTCAATCTAAACCTTATTTTAGTACAAAAAGTGACTAAAATCTTCAAAAAATCATATCTCCGCCAATAATTTTTTTTGGGGGGTTGTGCCAATGGTTTTTCACTCATATTGATGAGTAGATTAAGTGAGAAAATTTTGGCCGAAGTTGTAGAGGGTCGATGTAAATCGCTCGTGATCTAATTTGATCTTCCTCAACTATCATTTGAAACAATTCTGATTCAACGAAAATAAAAGGATGAATGAAATAACAAAGACAAAATGTGGTATGCTCTTCAATGAAAAAGTTTTAGTATAAACAAAATAGAGTACAAAATATTCAGTAGAGCACAGATGAAATAGACAAAAAGAAATGTGCATATGTACACATGTACATGAAGTAGAGTAAAAAAATAAAAAAGGAGAATACAAAAAATAACATCAGTCCTTCTTCTGTCGCTTGTTGTTCCCTTCTTCTTGTGCTCTACGAGCCCGCTTGGCATTTAGCACTTCCCTCATATCCACGTTATCCTTAAACAAAGAAAAAAACATGAGTAGAGCATTTTTTTAATTTGTTATTCATAAAAGTCTTGTGTTGTCCTTTCACTTACAACCAATAGTGCTTGATGGGGCTGGGGTGGAGGCAAATGGAACACAGGGTCAGGCACCTTCCCCATCGGATGCTGCTTCGTGGATTGAACAAATGAAGGCCCTGCCTTTTGGGCCACAGCAGGCCTTGCAGCTGGAGTGGGGGGTCGCTTGGCCCTAGTTCTTTTCCTTTTGAACACTTCCTCACTGAAAACAAACAAAAATATAAGATGGATGCGTAGATCAAAAAAGTTTATCTGTGTGTGGATAATTTAAACTTACGGTATGGCGACATCAACTTCCTCACCACCCTCCTCTATCAGCACCACCTCAGGCTCGTGCTCCACCTCAGGCACCGGCTCCACCTGAGGCACCGCCCGGGTGGAAGGATCTGTAGTTCGAACCGTCTTTGAGAACCGTACAGTCATTGTCCCTAAATTCGGACGGTTTTTGAGGAAAAACGCCTGTGACATCTAGAATTTTTGAAATATGAAAAATCGCTGGGGATTCTAGAATCCTCACGTCGAGACGCACCTACCACTCACCGAAAATATTTTTTCGCGCGAACGGTATAGGGGTGAGGGCTGTTTGAATCGTGTTCGTATTTAGGAACCAATGCGTCCTAAATTCGGACAGCTTTGAAAAATTATGAAAAGTGAAAATTTTTCGGGGGGTACAGAAACTTCATGAAAAAATTTGACCTTACCCTACCTTCCAAATTTTCTTATCTGGTATAGTTTAGTCGCCAGAACTGCTTAAAGATCGCTTTTAACGTGCCCTAAATTCGGACAGTAGTCACTTTTGCATGTAAAAGCCTATGTCCGAATTTAGGGCGCATTGCAAAAACGCTTCCCAATACTAAACCGTGCGACGAAAAATCAAAAACTTGGTGTCATATTGAAGATAAAAGTACCAAGTTTCACATATATTGTGGTCAGAATAACCCGGGCTTACACTGTTCGGAACCCCAAATTCTTACAAGACACATTAAAAAAAGTCCTGTTTTGGGGGGCTAAAAATACAAATTCCAGGAATTTCTGGAGGAAGCAATATCACTCACACATTTATTTTTTTGGCAGAAATGGAAACTTGGTGGTCTTACCTTTCCATCAAACCCATGGAAGTTAAATTTTGTTGACGCAGTATGGATTTGGAGGCGACAATAGTGAAATACGGCACCATGTCCGAATTTAGGGCGCAAGTCCGAATTTAGGAACAATGACTGTAGTTCAACTTCTTCGAAATCCGAAGTTAAAAACCAGTCTAAGTAAAGTTGTACTTGGTTTTAGCTCATACTGAAGTACAATTTAAACGGAAGTGCAAACAACGAAATAAATACAGTTCAAGTGCAGCTGTACTCACTGCAGTTTAAATGCAGTTTTCTGTAGTTGAACTACATCTAAACTGCAGAAAACTGTGTCAAAACTATAGTTTAACTCTACGGATTTCGCATGTCGCACAGTTTTACCATAGTTTTCACCTAGCTTGGCGGAGTTCCCGCACTGTTCCGACTGAAGTTTTCACTGCAGTACAACTTTACTTTAGCTATAAATTTGTCGGAGAGCTATGTACACTACAAAGTTGTGTTCGAACGCATAATATGTATAATTTCAAAATTAATTTTCCTCCCCTTTTGGGACACTTTTCTCCTCCTTCCCTCCTCTCCTCCTTCCCCCTTGTTAACATAGTAATTTCAGAGCTTTGTACCTTACCGAATGTTGAACTTGAAGCGGACGTTGACGCGACTCGAACCTCGAACCTCGGAGCTGGGAACCCGATACGCTGACCACTGAGCCACCGCGCCACCACACTAGTAGCCATGCGGTAACTTGATGTCATGCGAAGGGTCCCAGCCCGACGGCCGACCGAGTCGGAATACAGTTGAAGTACAGTTTAAACCTAGTTCCGCCCCAGTTAACTCACTTAACTTTGTTGTCACTGTGTTTTCCGCTCCAAAATAACCTGCTTGTTAAAGACATATTCCTTCATATCTCTTTCACGAAAAACATTTTTGGAAGGCAAGTAAAAGAGTCCAGCAGGAAGCAGAACGTGGCTTGCCTTTTACACCGGTAGTGGACTTAAGCATCCATTATTAAAATATGGTAATCCATGTGTAGAGATCCAGCAGCAAAGTTGTTAATAATCAATATAACTCAGTGTTAAGGACAAGCAGTGCAATTTAAGTGCATTTAAATTATGGTATTGACAACAGAATTCACCTACAGTTGGATTCGCACCTCTAAATGCACCTTGAAATGCAAACTTGAATGCACCTTAAGTACGACAAGAGTGCAGAGTACACTCCATTTAACTACTATAAGTGACACTGCAGTGTCTCAGTACTCTTTAACTCAACATAAACAACGCTCTTGAACTATAGATCGATCTGTAGAACCAACGCATAATGCGACAGCAAAGAAAACACAGTACAACTACAGTTTAAAACACAGTTCGTAACACAGTTTACGATGCACCCGGACTTGAAGTTTTATTCGCATTAATGCACAGTTTAAGTCCTCCACTCTAAAAAAATTTACAGATTTTTGTATCAAATTTGATACAGTTTTCTGTATCCGGGCACTGTGATACAGAAATTCGTAATGATGATACAGAATCTTGTAATATTCTTTTAAAATTTGTAAACAATACAAAATTCTACATTTATTTCAAAATTTTATATTATTCTAAAAGTTTTAGAATTCGGATTACAAATTTCTGTAACCGGAATACAAATTTCTGTAACACGGAAACAGAAATCTATATTTGCGTTCAAAGATTCGCCGATTTAACGTTAAAATTGGGCACGATTCGAGTAGCTGTTAGACTGACTGCGGCAACATGGAAAATAAAATCTGTTCCCAAAGCATTAACATAGAATTGCCATCTGAAAGCTCGATGGCTATGGGAAAGGCTCTGGGTCTGGGGCAAACCAGTAGACGGGTGAGAACGACACCAGGTCGGAGCATGACTGCTCGCAGGAAGTCGCCTTAGCCGCGTGGGCTAGGGCGTCAAATCCCAACCCAGAGGTTCGGGGTTCAAATCCCGGTAAGGTAAAGTACTACATTGAAGTTAATCGTCTGTGATGAGAGTGAAACGTCTAGGATAAGACATCCAAGAGAAAAAAAAATCTCTTTTTCTTATGTGTCAGAGCATACAACGAAATGTTTTATTCTGTATCGATGGATACAAATTTTTGTATCCACGTTACAAATTTATTTTTAATATCCAAAAGAATACAATTTTTTGTATCATGGATGCTGAAAAAACTGCATATCCAAATTACAAATTTTTGTATTAATTTTTTTTAGAGTGTCTTTGTATTGCAGTCTAAAAGTATAGTTCCACCACTACAGTTACAACTTCAGTCAAACTATAGATCCTTCCACCCGGGCGGCACGTCTGCCATCACTTCCTCCTCAGCAAATAAAGTCTTATTCAAGCACTCCAAAACTGGCATATCCAGGGAGTTCTCACTGAAATTCTTCACTTCGAACTGTAACAAGAAATGCGCATGTAAGAGCACAGTACACAAGTGCTGTGTTGAACGATAGAGAAAAAAACGGGGTAACTTACGCCATCCTGCGCGTCCGTCCCGAACGAAAGCTCGCGGGCGCGGACAGGCACCGCATCCTCTCTCATGCACTGCGCAGCCTTGTCGGGGGTGCCCGCCAACAATGGGGCCTCCCAGCTGACCGACTGAAAAAGAGTAGTCACAAACACCTATTAAACACCTATTAATCACGACATTTGCCTACCCCTCGCCCCTGAGCTGAAGCCCCGTGCGCCTGTAAGCTTCTCGAGGTGCGCGCCCCTGCGGTTGTCTTGACGCCACTCTCCTCCCCCTCCCCCCTACACTAGGCTCCTGGCCCTGCCCCTGGTTCAACATTGCTGTCGAAGTTCTGCCCCGGCAAGGGACGGTGGCGGCACTCAGTTCGTGAGCGCGTACCGAATCTGTCCCCGTCCGGCTGCTGCGCGGCGTGCCTACCTCCCAGGGCTGTAGGCCGGCGGCGCGCCGGCGCGCTATAGGGCGCTCGGGGTTTTTCGGCCCTAGCGCCTTTCCTATTGATTTTAGAGGGTGGATCAAAGCGAGGCGATTAAAGGCCATCATGTTAGCTATCGAATGAGCACAAGCCGAAGTCTGTGCGATAATTCTGAGAGGATTGCCAGCGAAATTAGTTTAGCGCCGGAACGCGCGCTTGGGTAACTTCGCTCCTGGCGCCTCACCCGTTGGTTTTAGACAAAATTACATCCCCTAAGCAATTAAAGAACATAAAAAAACCTTTAAAATGAGCTATCACCGAGGTCGATACGATCACTTTGTGAGCTGTGACATCGGAATTAGTGTCGCGCCCGGCCGCCGCGGAGCGAGAATCCGTCGCGCGATCGGCTATTTTCGCCTCTGGCTCCTTTCCTATCCATTTCAGCACGCAAATGGTAGGGAATGAAGATGAAGAGGACGAAATAAGCTTTCGAACGAGCCTATACCGAAGTCGGTATCATAAGTGTGTCAGACGCAGTGTCGCCGTATTGTAATAAGAGCTCGTTTGTTGCCGGTCCCGCGCGGTCCCCGGTTTCAACAACAACATTCGCAGCCCAGCTAACTTTGGTGGCTGAGACTGAACTGACCCGTGTAAAAAAGGAAGTCAAAAGTAAGTCAAAACTCGATTCAAAATTGAAGGACGAATCTAAGACGAGTTGTCGCCTCCTCACGCTTTTCGAAGATTGTCGAACGAGAATCAGACCGAGGGAGAAATCACTTGCGAAATAGTTCGTACACCTTCCCTCGAAATAAATGCGGAAATAGCTCGAAAAAATGTGAAATAAACAAAGAACAACGGCAGTTCTCCCTGCACCATTTCCTCCCATGCACTGGCTGACGCCGACGAAGTTCTTGAACTGGCCGCCAGGGTGGTCGACCCCTAGTGTCGGGTCCGGGAACTTCGTCCGCGTCGGCCAATCAGCGCAAAGGAGGAAAGGGTTCAGGCTGGTACAGGCCTGTTCTTAGAACATACTTATCGTATCGACTTCGGTATAGGCTCGTTCGAAAGATTATTTCGTCCTCTTCATCTTCATTCTCTACCATTTGCGTGCTGAAATGGATAGGAAAGGAGCCAGAGGCGAAAATAGCCGATCGCGCGACGGATTCTCGCTCCGCGGCGGCCGGGCGCGACACTAATTCCTATGTCACAGCTCACAGAGTGATCGTATCGACCTCGGTGATAGCTCATTTTAAAGGTTTTTTTATGTTCTTTAATTGCTTAGGGGGTGTAATTTCGTCTAAAACCAACGGGTGTTGCGCCAGGAGCGAAGTTACCCAAGCGCGCGTTCCGGCGCCAAACTAATTTCGCTGGCAATCCTCTCAGAATTATCGCACAGACTTCGGCTTGTGCTCATTCGATAGCTAACATGATGGCCTTTAATCGCCTCGCTTTGATCCACCCTCTAAAATCAATAGGAAAGGCGCTAGGGCCGAAAAACCCCGAGCGCCCTATAGCGCGCCGGCGCGCCGCCGGCCTACAGCCCTGGGAGGTAGGCTCGCCGCGCGGAAGCCGGACGGGGACAGATTCGGTCGCTCGCGCGCCTATGGGGCCGGCCCGGAGTGCCGCCACCGTCCCTTAGCCCCGGCCTGGTCCGGGACCTAGTCCGCGACCTGGCGGCATGCCGGCTGCTTCTCGCGGACTTCTGCTTCCCCGACCTGGGCCAGGGGCTGGCGGCCTGGCGGGCGTGATAGTTTTGCTGTTTCCCTCAAGCCCTGCGTGCGTGCGCGCGCACACGCACACGCACACACACACACACACACACACACACACACACACACGCGCGCGCCACAAATTTACAGTCGACCCCTGTTGACGGACGGTCCCCCGGCGTAGCAACAGCACAGCGCGCGGCAAACAGCCTCCCCCTCCACCCGTCCCCCGCCTGTCTGAGGCAGCGCCTGGCGACGACTGGCGACGACCCCTCCCTCTCCCTCCTCTCCCCGCGCCCGCGCCCTCGGCCCCGGCCGCGTCTCGCGGTGCGGCCGACGCGTCAGACAGGCTTCAACACGCATTAACCTCAAAAGCATGCAAGCGTGATATTTACAGCTGCAGCAAGGCAAATCATGCCGAGTGCACTTTAAAAACGTTAACACTTCGTGTAAACTGCGAAACGAACCCTTGATGATGAAAACTAAATTATACATCCTAATGTTAATAAGGAAATAAACATTTTCAGTTGTACCGGATGTAACAGTGTTGTAAGTTTAAGTTAGCCAATGCTCTCAGCCCATGCATTGCGTCATGGCCCCTGCAGCATGAAATGGTATGCCGACCCGCAACACTGAACATAGAGGTGTTCGCTCTGACCAAGGCACTGACCACCTGGTACCTGGATTGAAACTATGTTGTCGGTGTGGCAGCATGAATGTGTGTACTGCAGAAACACGGCAGAAAGTTCGGTTGACACCAAAAAGCTTGGTGGCTGTAACATTTCTAGAAATTTACTTTATTTCGGTCTCTATTTTGGGTACACTCAACAAGGGGCGGCGGGCGGGGCCTTGAGCACAGTGTCGATTGTTGGCGGTACTGAGGTAATGTGGAATTGCACTCCAACAGGTGGTCGCGGCGACATGACGCTCTGGCCCCCCCGCGCGCGGCGCGTGGTAGAAACGGGTTCGTTTAAAAACAGGGAAGGACAGAGCGATTTCTCGCTTAAGCACACATTGGACTCACCCTTTAAAATACAAACCGGCTGCATTGGGCAGCAAAATGTCGCGAGTCGTGCCGCATTGGGCGGCTACGCGGTTGATGATCGACTGAAATAAAACAGCTCTATGTCGTTTCGTGTTCTTTTCGCGGAGAGAGATCTTAGAGAGAGCCACACGGTAACGTATTACCGTGGCTTACATCGCATTTTGAACATTGTCTCGACATAGAACTGTTTTTGAGGACATTGGTTTTTTTATTCAAATTCATTCGCAAAACAGTGTCCTCACACAAGCATTTGAGGTACTTACGTCCATGGCGTCAATTTCTCGCACTAGCGAACTATGGTCCAAATGAACAGTGTCCCCGCTCAAATTCGATGCCGTCGACGACGAGCTCGTTGACGAAAAGCACGTTGAACAAGATGACGAACTTGTTGAAGACGATGACGAACTTGTTGAAGACGATGACGAACTTGTTGAAGACGATGACGAACTTGTTGAAGACGATGAGGAGCTGTCGGACGAGTCCTCTGATTCGTAGCCCATGATCAGGTCCATGATGGCGAAAAGCGTCTGTCCGCAGCAAGACTCAGAAGAACATTACGAGACGCGCCGGCTGTCTGGCCCGCCAGCCGAGCCGCGCTGCCCCCCTCCAACCCCGCGCGCCCCGCGAGAACCCTTCCCCTTCCCCGCCTTACCCCCGCCACTGCCCGCCGCGCAGCGCGCAGCGGGCCGACCAGAGTCGGAGCTCTGGTGCCGGCTGGCTTGGGTCGGGGGGACCGCGCTCCTCTCCCTCCTCGCCGTGCACACAGCCAAGGCATGGCTGCGATCCCTCCACCGCCAGGGCCATCATGTGCGGGACCAGGGTGAAGACCACGAGGTGCTCACCCTGGGTCTAGAGCCTCTGGCCGCACTCCCTGCACCCCGTGAGCGAGCTGAGCCGAGTCGAGCCGAGCCGAGCGGACGCTACGCGCTCGAGGTCCACTGGCAGGTAGGCAACCCAGTCAGCAGCCGTGCGGGCGGGTTGCGGCGCGGCAGGCGCTCGGCGCGGCAGGCGCGCGGATGTCCAACCCACGTTGAGACACGTTCAATATTATCATTTCCGACACCGCCCGATAGGTGGCGCCTCGAGCGGCGGAACGCAAGTATAAAAGAAGGGCTCTCGCGCCCATCAGTCATTCCTTCGGTTCGTCTCCTGGTGTGCACATCATGGCTTGCCCTTCTTGCTCATTCTCTGTGCCCCGCCCTCGGTTTCATCCGATCGACTTCGCCATGTCGTATGCTTTCTGCGACATGCAAATGCTGAGGGGATCAGATGATCAGTACATCATCAAGGAGTTCAGCAAATATGACCCATTCTTTGATTTAAGCTACACAGAAATATTTGCTTCACCCTACCCAGCCTCTCTTCTCACACCCGCCCAACTCAAACACAATG